ATGTTAAAAACTAAAGCGCGTTAGACTTGATTTGACTGCTTACCTAGGAACTAAGCTGAGATCAATTTTTAGTAACACTGCTTTTATCACATAGCAATAGTGTAATGCATGACTCTTATGGCAAAATTGAGAGATAAATAACGTTTTTGAATGGTTTATTTATGCGCTTTGGTATGAATGAAGACGTTTTTCAAACGTTTTTAAAACGTTCTAATAAAGTCTATATTTATGTTATTTAAAAAACGTTTGCAGCTAAAAACGTGTTTATTACGTCCCGTATTAAGTTAAAACCTGTTATAATAAGGTTACATTTCCAGTTATTGAAAAACAGATTTGCCAAAATCGTTTTACAATACAGGTTGTGAAAACGGTTCCCTAAAAACGCTTGCAAAACCAACTGTTATGTTACTGTTTCATTACCATGCTCTATGTTTTAGGTGTCCTGACAAAACGATGTATCACACCGCCGATATTGTTTCCATGTGTTCCCGGCGCGCCTGTATGTGTGAAGGGTCACGTTTGGGTGTGATCGTGGTTAGTTGGAAGATGGCGCGGAACAAGAGTGTACGAATAAACTATGGTGTTTATCTTTCACTCTGAGTTATGGTTTATTACTGGCGTGTTACATGGCTCGGCAGCGCGCTGCGAGCGGGTAACAGACTATCAACAGTGAGTACAGTCCTGGTGCACACATAGGTACTCGTACTTTTTCTCGGAGCGACAATCTGTGATCCGACAACCAAACATCGCCAAGTTAAGTGGTCAGAGCACAACTACCCGGGAACTGCGCCGTTGAGCAGGTTACTGCGCCGTTGCCCTGTCGAATGCGGGCTGGCGTTGTAAACAACCTAGCCGTTGACGAAGCGGTATTCGATTACAGGACTGGAAGCCGCTATACGTGACAGACTATGCAGACCATACGTTCGCTGGTTCGCTATTCATAGCCTACCCTGTGGATGTACAGCTGTGACTGACTGAGTGATAACAAGCTCTATCTACGTTATCGTGCTGTGGTGGGCGCCCAGCTTCGACCATGGGTTCAAGGATAGGAGAACATGCCAAGCAATTCGTCCGTGGGATCAAGGTTAGACAGCGGACTAATAAGAGTAAAATGCTACTAGTCTGTAAAGAGTCTACAGTACGTACCAAAGTTCCTACGGCGCCGGATTACAATAACCAGCGAATCAATGAACTCTATGCGTGTTTTCATAGAATCTACATGCACATGCCTGTATTGCGCATTGCCAATTATGTACAGTACTCTATTTGTGCTAGCAGCAACGTGTTCGCCGTGGTTGAATGTTGTTAAGCGCTCATGTATTGATTATTACTCGATGTGTCTAAAGGCTTTAACTATTTAAATTGGCCTAGTGTTTCGTAGTATGATCGTACACAAAATGGCGTATTGCTACTACTGGTTAAGAGGCACATATACGGAAAAGTTCCAGTGCGATGTAAATGCTGTATGACAGTACACCTCGCGATAATTTGCATACACAAGTTAACGTAGTAGTGTTAGTGCATGTAATGTTGTACACATACCGGCATTACACATCTTGTTGAGGTGACATTTAGGCTAAGTAGCCCACCACAGGGGGATCCAGTATGGGAGACCCATGAAGATGAGTGTACCGAGGCCCCGAAAGCCGATGAACCTTGCCCCACAAGGCACCATTAGCAGGGCCGCCGATGTTCCTTGCCCCCAACATTACAGGAGCCGGGTGCCCCAAACATTAATTAATAGGCAATACTTCATAACAGCTGCAGGGCTAACAGGTAGATCCAGAAAAGAGGTCGAAGGCCATTCAAAATCTTGAAACCCCCAGAAAAATTGTCGAAGCCGCTGAGAGATTTATGCGGCTACAGTGAATTACCTGGCCCGGCTTATCTGCCTCACTGTCGCACCGTGAATGAGAGGCCAATAATAGGCTGACCAAGGAGGAGTTCCTGTTGGCATTTATGAACATGCAAACCAGACCACGGCTTTGACGAAGCATCAAAGACATGATCTGCACAAGACACCAGTAAATGGCATAATGTATCGATACAAGGAAGGAGCTGGTCTACAATGTGATGCCAGTTGAGTCAGGACCTTGGGCGGCCGCACTGTTACAGGCGAGGCGTCGCGTCCAATAGGATATGGCCAGTCGAGGCACTTTACAGGACCCGAGACAAGATATACGCCTCAAATAGAGAAGGGGCCGGAGTCGCAGTGGCTTTGGGTCACTTGACATTTCCCAGACAATACACATATGGAGAAAAACCATAGTGCACACATGATCACGAAGCCTCTATGAACGATTCAGAAAGAACCACTGCATGCAAAGGCCCCTAGGACGATCTCCAGGGGATTTTATGAAGATCCATAGGAATAATGACATTAGACACTGAAGTGGAGACTGCGGAAGGAAGAATGCACGATCGAGATATTCTGTCCAGATCCTACACTACCTAAATCGACAGGAATGTCAGACAATTGAGACAGGGTATGACATGGTAGACTACTTGGCCGATCCGAACCAGAAAAGACTCGAACAGCTCAAACTAAGAGACAGAAAGGACGAGACATATGCAGCATCGTAGCAGGCATTAGTGATTCTAGAAGGGGAATGGCGCGGATATCTCTATCGCCAGAAGGAGCTAATAGGAGAGAAACTTCCACGTATTTTGACTCAAGAGATTCTGTCTACCCAATGGTAACGCCGTACTTTATACACATAACCAGTGATATGAAAGAACATGGAGGTGTCCCCAGCCGACGGTCTGATAATTCAGCAGGCGATGAGCGCTCGTTCATCCCTGCAAGCGATAGAGACCAAAATGAGAGAGGCTATTCATCACCTCTCATTCTAGGGCGGGAAGCAGTTCGTGTCTCAGCGAGCGGCTCCAGAGAAAGCATCTGTACCCTGCGCCAGCCATGAACGCGGAAATCATAGACCTTCATAATCAACTTGTGACGCATTGCAGCGGCAAACTATGACCACCCTAGACACTGGTCAGTGCCCAAAGAAACTAGATGAATGCCACCATGTAAACTCCCTGGTAGACCCCTGCGGCAAAAGTTGCATCGACCTATTTACTTTGGAAGACAAGCACTACCTTTGCGTGACGTCAGTATTATTGTACACCAATTTCTGGCTAGATTGTGGTACAGGACCTGAAGAGAACCAACTCTTCATCTATAACTTGAAAAGGCATTTTTCCAGACAGGGAATACCAGAACAGGTTATAGCGACAATGCTCAGTGAATCTGACATCTGCATGAATTCCAGAGATTTCGGCGACGCAGACTGGGATTTTGAACACGTCACCCGTAGCTTCCATACTCAACAGTCAAAGCAAATTGCGCAGGCGGACGCTTCATCTCAGTGAAGGCCAGCAAAGCGGAATGCTACGGAATATGACCGAAGAAGTCCGGAACTGGATCCATATCTTCTATACTCTTGAGCTAGGAGGAATTCGCAAACACCCTCACAAGCAAGGAATGGGCAGTAGCCCCTTCATAGCAGCGTTGGAATTGCAATTAACCGTCGGGGCACGCACCACTGCTTACCAAATGATACGCGAACCATACTCAAGCCACTCGGGCGTGATCAACGTTGAAAACAGATGCAGATGATCAAATGCACAGCTCTGAATGAATAGACAAACAAAGTACTTACAACCACGGAACGCAAAAAGATGCTGCCTGCACTGAAGAAGGTGCACACCGTAAGAAGTAATGAGTCTTTCGCTAAAGGACAACGAGAATGGAAGCCAAAGGTGTCGGTAGTGGCATTAGGCTCGATGAGACGGTCGTACACAGTGGACACACCAGATGATTGGCAAATTACAACCGTGAAATCGTGGCGGAACATTATAACGCACTCATCCCCGAGGAACCACCAGCCCGGACTACCATGCAACGAACCATATCATTACACATACGCCAAGAAGCGACGGGTGCGAAATTGAGTCAATTAAGGACACCGATGGGACGAAACGGTAACCACGGAGCCAATCTTACCAGCCCTATTGGCCCACAACAAATTCTCAAGCAGCAAAGAACCGCAGCTGGCAACATGCCTAGGAGAGAGAACAATTATACATACGCCGACAAAGAAATTGCCCCCTCAAAAGCCAAATACATACTTCTCCCCATTTTTGCACCACTTTCAGAACAAAATCACAACACCAGCCAGCGTCAGTAGGAGCCAGTCAAGAGACCCGCCTTTCCCCCTCAACCTAAGCGCAATTAGATGTTACCGTGAGCGATGATAGAAGGTGCATCGATAGCGGCCATCGCTACAATCTGTCACCATACCACCCGCGAAGGATTACTAAACTAAGTTTGTTTTTAAAGGCCATACAAAACCTACATCAATTAGAACTGTAGGTCAGCGATGATATTTATCTTGGAATGTGGGCATTCTTAAGAGTCCCTATAATAACTGGAAAATTCGCTTTGTTATCGTTGTCACTAATTGACATTTGTTATTGACTGTGTTTGTAAACTACTGTGTTTGTATAAGGATCACGCTGTTTACAGACTCTCCACGCTCGCAGCTAGTGTGATAGCTTTTGAGTTTATTCATATTAGGAAAAAGACTGTATCACACCGCGTAATTGTTCCATGTGTCTCGCCGCCGCTGATATGTGTGAAGCGGTTCCACGTTGGCTGTAGTGTGATCCGTAAGCGATAGTTGCGAAGATGGCGAACAGAAGTGTTGACGAATAAACTATCGTGTCGCTCAGTCTTTCACTCTGGAGTTTATGTTTATACTGGCGTGTTGTTTACAAACGATTTATCATAACTAAATTTTATTCACATTCACGCGGGCGCGCACACATACGTAAGCATGCACATCCGTGCACACGCACGCACACCCACACGGTCACACCCATATACAGGCACACACACTTGAGTGCGCACACACGCACATATACAAACACACACGCGCACGCACGCACGCACGCACACACGCACACGCGCGCGCGCGCAACATGTAGGTTATTATCTACGGTGGCCCACAGGGACAACACGCAAGCACAATTACAAATATGATTACAAACATACAAAATTCGTATACAAACATATAAAATTCGAGACAAAGCAAATAACTTTCAAGACAAACACATGCAAACTGCAACTTCATTTGAACACAACACATGTTCACAAGTAAACAAGTACAATAATCGAAGCAAATTACAAGATTTCGAAACGGAAATAGGTGGCAGCACTGTACCTTTTGTTTTCACGCGACGCCAACAACCCGCTCTTGTATCTTGTATCCTTTCCTCCCTCTCTTGTATTTCACAAGCACTCGATTTATATTTGAAGTACACCGATGCAAGTGAGTACAATTTGACATGTAAGTAACGTCACGTAATGTATGTTGCTAGTACTAGTACTTAGTTACTATTAAATACTATACTGACGGTTTGTCGATTGTATGAAACTAATAATAGTACTAGTACTAGTAGTAGTACTAGTACAACTAGCTTTAGTACTAGGCCTTATACTTTAGCCCGCGTTCATTAACTGCCGCAGGTCTGCGGCGTAGGTGACCTGCGGCAGTTAATGAACGGCAGTTAATGAAGCGCTATATGCGGCATTAAGAACAACAAGCATAAATAATGAAGACAGAAAGCGTCAGCTAGAATTGTCATCTTATTCATATAGCCATGTTTATTATTTATTATAGAAACAGAGTGCATGTATATTACTAAAATATAATAATATGCATACAGCCTAGCTGTATAAATTATTGCCAGTTAGTTTGTTAGTGACCTAGCTAGACCTAGTCTACGCTTTGAGAGGTCTCATGTCCGCCGCGGGGTACTGCCGGAGACGTACGCCTGTGTAGCGGTTCGGCGTATAGTATACCGGAACCGTACCCTGGTACTATCTAATATTGCCGACGCGTACCTCGCCTACTCCACTAACGAGTGCTAGGGAGCTCGCCTACGCTACTGCCCTAAACCCTAAACCTCAACCAATATCAAAAGAGTTGCGCAAGGGTAGTTGCCGGTAGTACCGGCCCGTACCCAGGGTACGTTCGCGGCACGTACGCGCTGGGATACATAGACCCTATGAGCCACTAGTACTAGTGCTCATAGGGTCTATTGTCCCGCCCAGGGGTACTGGCCGGAACGTACGCTGTGGTATCGGGTCGCGGTATACGGAACGTACCGCTGGTCCACTATTTGATATGGTTAGGGTGTAGGTTAGGTTACGGGTTTAGGGGTTAGGATTAGGGTTAGGGTTGGTTCGGGTTAGGGAGTAGGCGTTAGGCGACTCGCGCTAGACTACGTTAGTGGAGTAGAGCCGAGGTAGCGGTTCGGCATATTAGATAGTACCTAGGGTGCGTTCCGGTATACCGGACCGTACCCAGGGTACGTTCCGGCAGTACCCTGGGAGACATAGACCCTATGAGCACTAGTACTATAGTAGTAAGTTACTAATATAGTAATACTATTACTAGAATGAAATGGATCGATATGGATCGATATTAGATAGATATCATATGCTATAAATATAATATATATTATTGGTCTATTTATAACATTAACATATCTATCTACACAAATGTTATTATATTTAAAATATTATCCATATACGTGCAGGGTTCTCCAAAAAGCATCTTTATAGCCTGGCGGCCCGCCAGGCTATCGTCGAGGGCCCCGCAATCCTAAAATTGCACGGCGCCACTCTAGATATCAATAGCCGCCATGCTAAAATTTGGCTAAAATAATGCTAAATACTAGGACCGTAAAGGCAGCCCCGCCATGGCTATAATGAAAAAGCTTGGAAAACCCTGACGTGTGTGTGTGCATACATAGGCTACATGCCTCCTCCTCCTCTCGTGCTCGAACATTTACCTCTGGCCCGACAGGCTCGACTTTCACTGTTCATCTGCTTAAATTAATTCTCACTATATCAGATATGTATTGAAAAGCAACAAGGCAGCTTGATCGTGGGCTAGTGTGTACGTATATATATATATATATATATATATATATATTAAAATATCAATACATAATCGTATATAAAAAATAACATCACATTATGGAGTAGGTGAAAAAAGAGGTGACAGAGAGGAGAAATACTAATGTCGTGGAAGAAGGGTTAGATGAGGACTATAGTGTGATTGAGGTACATTACTCATTAGCACCAAGTTCCCTTTTTGCTTCTCACTACGTGGCGACATAAAACATTCCTATGGCATGAACTGGTCGTAAAGCCTGCATGTTCAGGCTATATAGAGGTATAGATGAGCTTGAGGAGAAAGAGGAGAGAAAGTGCAAGTGGTGGAAGGTTTAGGATTGAGGAATGTGGAGGCAATAGAGGATTTAGAGATGAAGGGAGAAATCTTGAGAAGAATAGGGAGGAGGTAGATCAGGAGGGGCAGAAAAAAGGGAGATGTTGGAGGGTAATAGATGCTGTAGAGGAGAAACAAGGTGCAGTGCATGTGTTGTGCTTGATATATACTTCAATGTGTCTGTGACAAATTGTAATTTCAGATGAGAGTTCGAGTGATGGTGAAGTCGACAATCCAGAGCTGCCAGACTTATCATTTCATGCACGTAGGTTTCATTCGGAATGCCTTGAATGAGAGTCGATGAAATATTTTTTGATTGAATTAAGTGTTGCTGTTATATGATAGGCATTATGTGGTTTTCATATGTTCATGCAGAGTATAACCCTTCTTAGTCTGAAGAGTATGCAGTACTGCCAAGTGTGATGAGGTTCTGATTCCTAAATAAAGAAGTTGGACAGCATTTGTTAATAAATTCATCATTCATTAAAAATAAATGAAGGAAACAACCTAATACTGCCATTACTATTGAACCATTTTGAAATGTTATTTACACGTAACAAATAGCTTCGGTATGTGATTGCTTGCATAAAGACATGACGTAACCTTTCTCTGTCAATCGAAAAAAGCGTGTGTGCCTAGGTCCCTGATTATCTGTGTAATTTATTTTATTACATTAACACTGTGGATCTGAGATGGTCGCAAACTTTGATTTGTAGAGGTGTATAAACAGTTTCAATATCTTTTCACAAATCCAGCGAAAGTGTCACAAGTATGAGCCCTACAGCGGGGAAGACCCTGACGATCTGCTATTGCTAGAACCACAGCCCGCACAAGGTAAGTTTCACAAGTTCAGCGGCAAGATGAGTAATCGTTCACGGATATTAACACACCGAATCTACTGGTGCTTTTTGTCGCAACGTTTCTACAACTATTGAACTTCTCGCATTGACAGGCTATGATGAGCCCGGCAGTGAAGACGCTGACGTTTAGATAAGGAGAAAGGAGAGGAGGAGGAGGTGACGACGACAACGAGGAGGGGAGGATGAGGAGGAAAAGGAGCTGTATATATGCAAATTGTGTGACGGCATGCACTCTTACCTGTAGAATTAAAGGACAACTTTAGTGCCAAAATAAAATTAAATTTGGTCAATGCCCTTAAAAATAATTATCAATGTAAATCTATATTTGATGGGGTTTTTCTTGCTACTGCATCACTGTCCTACCTTCACAGTAGGAGCAGAAAATGATCCCGACACAAATAAATTACACGTGCTAACCACAGCACGTGTGAAAGTCCAGTGTGGCCACTACAGGATTTTTGGCTATGAACGTTTTTGGCTTGGGAACGAATGAACGAAAGAACGATCACGCTTGGGAGAGCGCACACACACCATCGGATGGAGAGCCACCCACAAGCAGGACGACGCCCGAGAAGGTATATCCTACACTGAGGGAGGGGGCACAGAGCTATAGCCTACACTAGGGTCCCTATATACAGAGAGTTGCGCCAACTCAGGATTTGACTCCATGTTGTTACCTAATGGATCTACACCGCTGCCGCTTAAGTACAGCGCTGTATGGATACTCTGTACAATGGTCCGTAGTAATTAATTAGACTAATCGTGCTTCAATAAACTCCAAATTTACAGAGATTACAGCTAAGACATGTGTCTGTGTATCTAGATTTCTAGAAATGTAACTCAAATCGTTCGCGCGATATGATAGTTTAATTGCACACTTTCTTACCGCCCAGGACGTGCGTATATTAACCTGTGCGATACCGCGCGTAGATACTTGCTAATTAATTAAACCACTCGCGCTTCAATAAACTCAAGAATCACAGAGATCATAGATAACACATGTGTTTATATGTATCTAGATATCTAGAAAAGCAACTCAAATCGTTCGCGCCATATGATAGCTTCATTGTACACTTTCTTAGTGTAAACACAGCAGCTAGTCATTTTGGAAGAATAATGACAACTGTAATTCACAAGATAAATGCGTTCCACTCTCCACTCGCTCGCAGCTGTAACATGTGTTTTGCAGTTCTAGAAATCTAGATACACATAGACACATGTATTAGCTATCATCTCTAAAAATTTTGAGTTTATTGAAGCACGATTAATCTAATTAATTACTACGGACCATTGTACAGCGTATCCATACAGCCCTGTACTTAAGCGGCAGCGGTGTGAATCAATTTGGCCACGAACTCGCGCCTAGCCACGGCAGCACACGACGGGGAGGGACAGATGAGGAGCGGCGCCTGGGGCTACAATATTAACCCGTAGAATAGCTAAGATTTAAGTTAAACGTGTAATCACCTAATGAGGTAACGTAAACGTGACATGAGTAAATATATATATATATCTCTATGCTATATTTGAGATGCGTGCTGCAGTGAACGTGATTAATGTTATTCCGTGGTTTGCACAGTCCTTGAAAAGTCATTGAATTTGAGGGGAGTCCTTGAAAAGTCCTTGAATTTGAGGGGAGTCCTTGAAAAGTCCTTGAATTTCATGAAAATGTCCTTGAATTTGTAGAAAGAATCCTTGCCTGTAATAAGAAGAATTGTTGCCTGTACCATCAATAATGTGCAAAGCCTCAATAAAAATTGCGTTAAATGAGCTTAAAAAGCATAGACACGATAGACAGTTAAATGATGATCACAAATAACAGTAAGTCAGTAAAATCAGTCAGTAAATCAAGGTATGTTGTTGAAATGCCAGTGTTTAGAAGGGTTTATTAATATGATCCAGGTAAGTTTTAGAGGTGACAGTGATTACGAATGGGGTTATTATTAAATTAAGCCACGGAATGTTTTGTTCTGTGTATGAATTCCGATAAAATGTATGATAAAATGTCCTTGAATTTCTGATAAAATGTCCTTGAAAAAATGTTCAGCCCTCCTGTATGAACCATGTATTCGTAAACAATGAATAAAACCATCCGTTGTATAAAGACTATCTAAGGACTTGCGTTCATTTCACTCTGGGGTTTTTCTTGTTACTGCATCACCGTCCTACCCTCACAGTATGTGCGGAAAATGATCCCGACACAAATAAATTACACGTGCTAACGCTCAAAGGGGTCGTTGTCTTAACAGGTACTACAGATATGTACCCGAGGTACATATATGTATACACAAAGTGTACCAGACTTGTACTACAGAAGTGTACCC